ATTATCAATTCTAATTAAGAAGAAACTAATCATATGATCCTTAGACACACTTTTCCAACATATAGATCAATGATCTTAATATATCCTTCATGATTTCGAAACAAAGGTCTGTTACTTACAACCTCTCACTCTCCTGTCAATTACATTTTGGAATAAACCTATAAATGTACAAAAACTTCATCTATTACTTACTATCTCTCAATAATTTGTAAATTAAATCCACGAATAAGCCTACAAATTTACAAAAACTTGAATGAACATCAACAAAACAGTACACTAAAATAACCAATGAAAAATAAAGTCACAAAAACAGTAAATTGCAGTCATTGACGGATAACACACAGGTTATCACAACACATATCAACATACTACACACCCATGCACAGTCTGTATTTTCTGTGGATCACGCAAATACACTCAGCTTGCCAAAAACATACACCAACCAATCATAACTGTAGAAGTTACAGTTACCGCAAGGAAAGAAATACAAAAAAACGGTGCATTATCGTTCAAAACCTAGCACGCCTGTTACGTCATATCCGACTATGCCTACTTCTTTTATATATATCCCAATTATGGGAAATACAAAAAAAGCATACTCAAACTATCATTCTACAACTTAAGTTAGCAAGTGTTGGCCCTATAACATGCAAAATGTTAAGCCTGGTATGAACTGGGTGTTTCCTAATTCAAAATTTACTCCATCTAGTTCCGGTTGGTCGTGTACATCACGGATAATCTACATACGATCCATGGTGACGTTAACAATAAGCTATGGATCTTCTTATATACATGTAGGATCCCTGATAACCACCCACGGATACTATATAAAACTGTCTACTAACTAATTAGATGGCTTACCGAACCCGAAGGTTCATCACCGAATTAACCAAAGCCCTCCACCGGGCCCTGTCCTGGGCCAACAAAATCCAGTTTCCTTCAACTCCTATCTCCCATAGATCCCACCTGAGATTATCCTCCCATCTACATCTAGGTCTCCCCAGCGGTCTCTTCCCTTCAGGTTTCCCAACCAGTACCCGGTGCACACCTCTTGTCCCATCCATGCGCGCTACATGCCCAGCCCATCTCATTCTTCTCGACTTAATCACCCTGACAATACTGGTGGAGCAGTACAGATTTTTAAGCTCATCATTGTGCAAAACTGTCTACTACAAGCTCATATTTGAGGTTATTACACCATAGCCGCCGAAGAGTTTAATAGGATGAGCTTCCACAGAAATCAAACAAAAAAATTTACATTATCATCCAGCAAAAAATATTTACTTAGAGTTATGTAACTGTGGATACAAAGCAATGGATCATACACATGTGAATGAATGAAACCAACAGGCAAACTGAATTTCATTCTAATATTTTACCTACATCCTGATGTTCAAGCAGTTCATTGTCATCTAAAAAAGATACTCATATTCAAGTCAATCACAAATAAAGCAACATTAATAAAAAACAAAAACCAACCAACCAACCAACCAAAAGTCAGGAGAGAATATAATTTTTTTTAAAGATTTCTTCACTTATCAGCACAGCTTTTCACTCATCATGAATAAGCAGGCAAGTGAGTTTGTCAGGCCCTAATTATGAAGTAAAACCTAAATATCATACACAGTATTTGAATGTAGTGAACAGAAATTAATTAATGTCTTATGTACTGAAATATTTCAACATAATGTAACTCTTTCTCTACACTTTTTCCAAGTGTTTTACATATCACATACTGTCTCTGCAGACAGATAATTTTATAAACTGTCCAATTCTGAAAAACTTGTAATGTACATCACTTGTATAACATAATAAATTATATTCACAGCATATTGCTAAATAAAACATAAATAAGTAACACACGTGGTGTCAAGTAAACAAGTACCTCACATGGTAAACACAAGAATAACAAACAGATGGGAACTTCCAGCATACAATATGCTACCTGCGTATTTTTATTCTCCCTTTTTTACCTGTCGCTAAAAAAATGGAGACTTATAGAAACTTTGCTTTCATATGTCTTGCACCCTCACTACAATTTACCTGAATACTACAGATCTTATATTTCCTCTGTTTTTTTACAAAAGACAAATACACATCCAACCATTATAAGTTTTGATTACTGGGGACAAAAGTTGTTGGCAATTCACATGATAGATTTTATGCTACAATTCATATAGTACGACAAAGTGTTTATGCTACACTGCATTCATTTAACGTGTCTGTCCTTTCATATTCATGCCTGGTTTGACAAAATACTGAAAAATTTGAAGAACAAAAATCCTCACTATATTGTACCTAATGAGTTCAAATACCAAACAGCTGTTTTTATGTTTCAAAAATTATATCCTCTGTACTGCACTGAAGCTTCTTGGCGGGGGGGGGGATGAAAACAAATTTTGATTATTTCTGTGGGGGATTATTATCTGACATGTCAATCAATAATCAAAAATATACATTCAAGAGTGAACACAGTTTTGACTGAAAATCTGATAAACTTATAGTGTTCCACAAAATATGAATAGCTTCAAACCAAAGTATATGATGCTACAGATATTGTATCTATCACAGATTTGTTCTAGCATCAAATATATGTTCTTACACGTCACACAAAACTGAATAAGTTGAGAAGCATGTTTGCAAATTAACACTTTAATTAAAAATATGGGGCACTAGTGTGCTACAATTTCAGTACTGTTCAAAAATTTGTTTGAGGGAAAATACATCCAGCTATAGACGCAGAGGGCAAGCACAGATATAAATACATTTGGAGAGTTAAACATTAAACATTAATGTTTAGTCTACTAATCCCTTCAAGTTTGAATCACAGGGATAACAGTATTGCTTATAACAGTACGCAGAAAAATATACGAGCATTTATAACAATGTGTGTAAGAACGAATATCATTCATAAAAGTGAAAGTAATGGAAGTTACACAGAACAGACGGAACCCAGACTTAAAATTTCTTTTGGACCAAAGAGTGGGGAAATTTATGAAAATTCAAAGTTAGACAACTCTCGATTACCCAGATTTAAGAAATGGGAACAGAAAATACAGAACACAACAAACAATTTTGAGAACTTGCGTAAGTCGGTCTTTTACCAACTCCCTACTTTTGTATATTCATACGCTACTGAAGAATCACCTGTGCATAAACTGTATCATCTAGGCACTCTATATGAAGTAGTGTCCAAATTCTGTCATTTGCAATTAAATATTTTTTCTTTTGCATTAGAATGCTAGATAAATGTACACCTAGCATTTGAGAATTAATTTTTTGCCTTTACACACATTACCTATTAAGTAATTCCATATTAACATAACTGTTCTTGCACATACAGTACATAACTTACATTTATGTTGATGTTATTGTAATTATTATTGTATTTGTTGTTATGAGTGCAATGACATTATTATTTGTTACTGCAGATATTATTTGGCACAACAGAAAGTTTGTATTTAACCTACAAAAATTATTATAAATTTATGCTTGTTGAATATATTAATACTTATTACCACTCTGATATTTCAGTTCTTTACCAGTATTGATCAAAATAATGCACTGGTGGAAAATGCGACACATGCAGTTATGCAAGACAACATCACAGATATAAATGTTAATTGTGCATTTACATAACACATGAGTATTCTTTCTTTGAGTGTTAAAGAAATTTAACACGAACATAACTAAATGACCCATGTCCAGTAGGGGAACATTCTTCAAGAAAATTATAGGAAAACCAATATCACATTTTAATTTCTTAACCTTCATTCAGGGGAGGGATAAAAACCTGGCCAGATACAAAGGTACCCAGCAATTCCAACAAAGCACAGTGTTTGAAATGAAAAATAAACAACTGAAGATAGGCTGATCAGTCTGAGACATGTTAAAAAAAAGTGTTACATTCAGACCTGAAGAAGGAATACTTATGTATTGTGTGAAGACAGAACTAACGAACATTTAACCTCCAATTCACAACATAACACTTCTGTGCAATCTTACAAATATAAATTTTTAATAATATGAAGCTGTGACAGAACGCAAGACATGTAATTCACCTGCACTCCATTCAGCGCCAAGCAGTATTCTGCAAACTTAAAATTTTGTTTTATTTTAATGTCACTGCCTAAAATGGTACTGAATGAAGTCCACGAATGATCTTTATGACTGAAAAATATAAAATTATATACCAGTACTAGTGCTCTCAATTGGAAGTATCAAATTAACACCCTGTCTTAGATTCATTCTAACAATAAATAAAATGTTACATAGAAATAAAGCAAAATCCAATACCAACCAACATTCTGTAAGCATCAAAACAGGATGGTATTGTGAAGTTTGTAATAGAAAACGAATGTCTTAAAATTACATACTCTTGTGCCAACTTTGATACTTTAGAATTTGGAAACCATATAAATAAATGTGCAGAATCTAAATTTAAAAAGAATCTGACATACACAACTTGTAATGGAAGCAGTGTATCAATGCCATTTAACCTAATTAATTTTTATGATAAACAAAACTACAGATAGTGCCATAACACAAGACATATCATTTCTATATACAACATCCATTCAGTACCAAATAAATTATGTAGAAAAACAGTAATCGAAAATTATTAAATTCTGTATCATACTCAGTGTGGAGTTGGTTACTGAATGATGTTCACTTCCGATATGAATGTTCTTAATATTATCTCCAGTTATACGTGACATAAGAACGAAGAAGCTTCCAAACACTAAGATATTCCATAGTGCTATTATTTTGAACTTAAGATTGAGATGCATATTCTATTTTCTAAGAATATAAGAAATGTCTGCATATTTTTTGAACAGAAACTAAAGTTCAATATGTTCTAAAAATAAATGTCAAGAAGAAAATATTATAGTTTCTAACAATGTGAGAAACACGTCTTCATAATTCTGTACAGAAAATGAAGTCTTTTCAATCTGTACAAAATATATGTCAAAAGTAATTAGCTGTATTAACTGATAAGACATAAGAAATAAGTCTTCATTTCTATATATGGAATACCAGGAATCTTAATCTGTGCCAAAATATTTCTGTCCAAAATGATTAGGAGCAACATGATGAACTTCTGAAGAAAGAATTTGCATCTGAAAAAAATAGAAAACCATTGTTTACAAGTTAGCAAACCTCTCTGTCACAATGTATACTGGAAACTGTCTGAATATCAAGGGTAAATAATATCTTCTGAAATTTAGGTATGAAAAAGTTCGTTCTCACAACCTTAATTTTTTATAAACCATTCACTGTACAAAAAGCAGTTTGATATCATCATAAAATTTCAAAAAATTCAAGATTTCAGCAATTTTACTATGTGATCTTGAAAAGAGATAAACCAAATGTTCCTACCATATTTTTTTGCTGGTAAACTATCCAACAGACACAGACCATTGTAAATGAACAGACATCTGAAAATAAGATCGTATGTACATTCTCACTATATCAAATCTAAAAGTTTGTGATAATGGTGAGTTATTTAAGTAAAAAGTTCTTTGGATATTTTCAATCGTCTAGTAAAATAATAGAATTGAAATGACTTTTCGGAAATGGGGCTCTATCCCCGTCTTCAGGTACCTACTCTGTTGGGCCCAATAGAGATTAGCTCTATCTATTAGGCCCAACAGAGTAGGTACCTGAAGATGGGAATAGAGCCCCATCTCCGAAACATCCTTTCTATTTTATTATTTTACTAGATGATGGAAAATATCAAAAGAACTTTTTATTTAAATACATTCTCACTAATTCAGAACAATTCCTGTAATGTGAATGGTTGAAATTATGATTACATCACATATGAAGTCATGAAAAATGTTTAAGAAGTACAGGTTTTTTGGAATGTCAGAGTGTTAGATCAGGTGAAGAATGTGATGCTTTTAATTTACTGACACACATAGAAACAATTATTACATATTAGCCATCTACATTAGTTTCTGTCCTAATAAGTTATGAAGAAATACGCAGCCCAATAACGTTGGCACAGATTGGAAAACGAACTGTAACTTCGCTTTCTACTTTTACTGTCTAATATCTACAGTGGTACTCAGAAAAAATATACGATAAATATACTATGACACTTTCATAAATACTATTATATTTATACAACTCTTTATAGAAGAAAAGCATTTAATGCTTTGTTACCTAGGTACCTACGACTTTCCACAAAACCTGAAGCAAAATTAAATCATGCTTCTTAATATATGTATCACTGTATTCCACCCAAAAAGATTATAAAAGTGTTCAGACTAACAAATGTCATAAACAGTTCATTACTATAACATAACCTCCAAACTGCAAGAAGTTCCACTACAATTATGCTAATCTTTGCTCATAAAAACAATAATCATATACCTGTGGGAAAGCTGCCATAATCGACTTAGCTGCAAACGGTGTACAGAACAGGTTAGATAAGATAATATTTTCCTCAGCTACATTATGCTCTTTCAACACAGCAACAGCCTTGATCACCGTATTCCCAGTGCCTGTAGACGAAACAATGAAATGTTAAAATGAATTTGTGTTATATAACAGTGAGGAATTTTTCCAAGCACTTCAGCGAATATTTATGAAAGTGTCAAGAATGTGTGTGTGTGTAGAACAACAGAGATGACGTCCACTGCTGTAACTGGTACAATTAATTTTCAATGTTTCGAATGTATACTTTTCTAGGTTCTAAGTAGTACTGTATCCATACAACAAAATATGAGCCAGTCACACATGGTTACAACACTATTTTGGTACTCCAAGTAAAGTAAAGTAAAGTTTCTTCCGCTACGTGTCATGGGGTGAGTGGAGGTACAGCTCCTCTCTTTCTTGACCTCGGCACTAGATGGGGGTGAGTGGTCGGCATCACACCCTGGCCGGCTTTACCCCCGGGAAAGGACCCCGGTATCCATTGTAGAGGAGGCTGGGTGGGCCCCAGAGCCGGTCTGGACGCAGAGGCTAGAGGAAAAATCCTCCGCCCGTCGGGGATCGAACCCTGGTCGTCCAGCCCGTAGCTAGTCACTATACTGACTGAGCTATCCCGGCTCATATTTTGGTACTGCACAACCAATAATTGGAGCATAACACTGACCATTCACATCAAAATTTCCTCCCCTCCAAGCGCCTCCATGGCGTGTAACTGGACAGCTTCACTTTTTACAGTTAACAGTAATTTCTTGTCAAACCTCAGCAACTGTAATACAGTCTTTATTTTATATATATCAAAAACACATGACAGGAATTTTTAATGCAACATATGACTAATATAACAAGGAAATTACTACAGCCAGTGTAACTCAGTCAGTATAGTGACTGGCTATGGACCGGATGCATGGGGTTTGATCCCCGACGGAGGCAGAGAATTTTTCCTCTAACCCCTATGTCCAGACTGGGTCTGGGGTCCACTCAACCTCCTTTCCAATGGGTACCGGGGTTCTTGGGTCCTTTCTCGGGGGTAAAGCGTGTCTGGGGCATGACGCTGACCACTCAACCCTATCTAGTGCTGAGGTCAAGAATGAGCAGGAGCTATACATCCTCTCCCCCCAAGCGCCTACATGGAGCATAGTGGGACAGCTTTACTTTACTACAGAAAGATCAAACAAGAAAACTTCCACTGGTGCCTTTTGGCTACTGCAATTAAATCAAGAGGAAAAATGCTGCTCATATGAAAGAAGAGAAGAGTAAACACATTGTGTCTTACTGCAGTGTCTACTTACTCATTATTGGGTACATGAGTAACACTTTTCTACTAGAAATATCCTCTGGAAATCGTGCATACACTACCCTAGCCTCATGGGTATCTGCATCAGATTCAACAAGGATCTTGCCAATACGGATTGAGCGGCAGCAATCGCGTAAACCCTGAAAAGAAACAAGTTTACAGACTAAATTTCTTTCTGACTTCCTTTAAGCACACAGGAAGTTGTTATGAGAGCTGCAGTCTACAACAGTTGGCATGCTATTCAAGTTAAAATTAATGTACACGTTCATTGTACCTGTTCCATTGCTTCGCCACTTCTTACTATGCTTACTCCACAGTTGCCCTTCTGGTATTTTAGGCCTTGGTAATTTGCCCCTGTTGGTGTTGTAACAACGCATTTTGAAAATGGAAGCTGGTTTAAGCTTTCTTCTATTACCAGGCGAATCTGAAAATTAAACATTCATTATGAGTTGCATTATTTAATGTTATTGAACAGGAAAGGACAAAATCTCCAGCTGGTTCCACATTCAATGTCCAATAAAATTATCCTCAACCACATTCCACAGTAAATGATGAAAAGAGGTACTACGAAAATTCTCTAAGAAGTTGTGTTTGAAACCCATAAGATGAATAATCAGCAATGTAAACAAAATATTCACAGAATATATCGTTAGCCATGGACTCGTATCTTCACAATTAGCTAACAGAAATATTTTGAAGATTTCCGTCTTCTAGGTTGTTGCGCTGTGTAGTCTGGTCGATGTTAACCAACGTTTCAGAGGTCATACTGTCTCCGTCATCATCGCCCTGATGATGAAGGCAGTATGACCTCTGAAACGTTGGTTAACATCGACCAGACTACACAGCGCAACAACCTAGAAGACGGAAATCTTCAACCGCTGTGAGAACCTCAAGTCTTACATAATACATATTTTATTTGTTATCCACATTGCATTATATTTTGTATGAGAACATGTGTTGTCATGGCAATGAAGACGTCGGTGTGAATCTTCCATGTTACAACACTGTGTAGACTTCTCGGTTGAATAAATTTAAATTTAGTAGTATCGCCCTGATTATGGAGGCAGCAAGGACCTCCGAAACGTTGGTAAACTTCTACCAGACTACACGGTGCAACAGCCCAGAAGACAGATATCTTCAAAATTTAATGTTGTTTACCTCTTAGTGGCAAACCTTTACAATTAACTTTTCACAAAAAATCGTCTTACTGCCCAACGTTTTTTCCATTTTACAGATGTACTACAGAAAGCCTGCATCCACTTACCAACCGGTCAGCATAGAATTTGAAGTCACTTCTTGTTGTGTTCCTGAAACAGAAAGATGAACGGTACAACAGATGTGCAAGGAAATTAAGTATATTCAAGGTATACACGTGATTTTACATCGTTACCTGTCACGAAGAATTGTCTGTAGTTCTTTGATCTGATCATTAGTTGGCAGGACCTTCAAATTTTCTCCAAAATCCTCAACGCCATCAGGTTTTGAATCTGAAAGTTTCATAATCATATTTTGCACATCACCTGCACTTCCCATTATTTGAGGTTACGTACGAATGTAATTGTCGTCACCACCTTGGGTATCTTACAACTCGGATAGAAATATCGAAAACTCAAAGCTAGGTTACCTGCTTCGCCCTCTGTTGTCAAAGAGAAGAACTAATGTAAAATAAGTGAAGTGCTGCGCCATATATTAGTGAGGGCATGAAGTAATGTAACGATAAATGAACTGCCGCGCCATGTATTGGCGAAGGCATGAACTAATGGAAAGATAAGTGAATTGCCGTGCCATCTGTTGGGAAGGTATAAACTAATGTGCCCGCGAACAATTTCTGATCCGTTTACCTCCATGGTATCCTGTAACCTGGATGGAAACATCGAAATCTCAAAGCTAGGTGATGTGCTCTGCCCTCTGTTGGCAAAGCCATGAACTAATGTGATGATAAGTGAATTGCCTTGCTATCTGTTGGGAAGGTATAAACTAATGGGCCCGCGAACCCGTTTACCTCCTTGGGTATCCTATAACCCGGATAGAAACATCGAAAAGATAAGAGAACTGGCGCGTCATAGTAAAATTCGAGTTCTCTCTGCAGATGGCACACAGCTTATTGAAAGAATGGGTGGATAGACTTACAGATTGATACCTGGGTTGGTGGACGTCTGGAAGCCTAGCTGACTGACTCACTGACGGACTGAACCAACTGACTGACCCATACACACATAAGTACATATGATAATTTTTGTCATTTCTTACAATAACCCTGAGGTGGAGACAGCCAGTCTCTGAAACAATGACTCAGCAATGATGTGACTGGTCACCTGAAAAGATTTTATAACCTTCATGTACAAGGAAAGTTTTAAGTCTCACACAGCATATAAAAAGTGTTTCACTAAAAACTTTCATTGTCCTTGATATCATTATTTTAATTCAGACGTAAAGGTATAATAATATACAAAATGTTAGAATCTCAGCACTTTTATTCCAATCAATGGCACGTATAACAATGGGGGACATGCCACAACCTAACATAACCACAAATTAATTTGCAAAAGTATTACTGTATAAAATGTTTCCCAAAATGTTCAGTTGTTTATAGTAATTCCTTCTCACTAATTGTTAACAAGTCTAGCCAATATAAAATTATAATTCCTACCACTGAAAACTTATATTAAATAGGTGTGTGATAGCAAAAGCAATAATCATGGCTATGAACATGCTGAAATGTCAGGATCTTAGGCCCAGAATCAGCAAGTAACTAGATATCTCTGGCTTTCTTATTCCTTCAATACACCAATAGATAACTCAACATTTTATATACAATATTATAATTGTATTTACTCATTTTGGGTGTTTAATGTTGCTATTACATATCATTAGTACAAACATGAGACTTTGTTGATTCTCCTGTTACACAAACATTACATACTTTACATTCAAAATATTTTGTTTCTGATGTAGAAATTCTGTACAAACACCTTTAATAATAATCTACTCATTTATATAACTACAGATTCTATAATTGACTTTTTTATTACATTATCATATAAAATAACACAAAATTTGGCCTAAATAGTTTATGTTTATTCATTACAAACAAAAAGAAAGTCTAAATGTGCAACAATCTAACAAGTGACAAAAGCAATTTAAATTTATTTTTTTGTTTATGAAATTTTTATATAAATTAATAACAGTTTAAGCTGCTTAGTGTTTACAGTAATGCTGCAGTACTGTTATACTGGTTCTTATTATGAAAATATATACACAACTACACGTCACACCAGAATGTATACTACATGTGTAGAGCTTTCCTTCTGTTAGCTTCCATGTACTCTCCTTTTACAGTTCACTTTATGAGCCATTTTTGGGACAAACAAAACCACTTTTATATTCGGTCAAGTACTCAATCAAATAACTTCTTAATTTTAGAAAAATTATGAGAACTGGTTGCATCTGATATCCAACATAAATATTCATCATCCTATTTGTCCCATTTGGTTAACTACAAAAATAAAATTTACATCACTGTAATCACTTGCTATTTAAGAATGCAATGTTTGATATTGTGTACTGCACAGCTCATAAATGTATGTGGGTTTAGAATAGACATACAAGCTAGAATATGTATTATATATGCCTTGTAATGTAATAAAAAAAGTAAATGATATTAAATTTCAGAAAACACATCTCTGCAGCTTGCACATACATACAAGCTAGAATATGTTTCCCACATGCTTTGTAACAAAGACATATCAATGAAAAATAAAGTAAAAATATTACTTTTGAAGATAATTGTATTCTGGGATGTTGTGCCATGTAGTCTGATAAGAGGAAGTGACCAATGTTTTAGACATACTCAATGCCTTATTCATCTCCATCTCAAGATTTCTACATTTATTATACAAATAATATAAATAGGACAGTACTGTTCCCCATGCTAAAGTGATAAGCAAATAACATGACAAGTTTGTAGATTCATAACATGATGTTCTTTCGACACCTCTACTAGGCACTTGTAGAAATATGATAAAACCTGGAGCACACTCAACTACAATATCCCTGATGATATGATGGCAGCAAGTACCTCTGAAACATCAGCCAATTTCTACCAGACTACACCATGCAACATACAAGACTGTCATCTTCATATTAGACATGGTGAGAGCATGAAATCTCAAACCACAATATTATATTTCATGAAACACATCTCTGCAGCACACAACTATACACACAAAATTAATTAACACAGTTATAAAATTAAATGCTCTGCTTGGGTCTAAATTATCAGAAAGGCGACTAACACATTTCCCAGGAAAGTAACTGAAATACTGGAAAGAAATGGTGCATATAAAATGTAGTATAGTGCAGCAAATGACAACCACGTTGCTGAAGATTACGTAGAAAAAAATTGTTCAATTGCTATTTATTATGATATATTGATACTGTTACAAAACAGGAAGACAAAAACATGATGACACTGGAGTACGGCATGGTTTGCCCTAACAAAACCTTTATTTGTTGATGAATAACAAAGGTTTATAAATAATATGTAATCTGAATGTCATATGGAGTTATAAGTGCTGCAGTGAACAGTATAAGCGAAAGAAGCGTTGCACTTTTCTAACGCGAATAACAAAATGTGACACCACTGGTGTTTACACTGGTAAGATGTGACATGCAACCATCATGCCAAGTTCATAAACTAAACACCTTTGAAAATACATCAGAACCTATGGCACACACAGTTATCCAACTATACTGCCCCTTGCCATTCAAATTACCCAGGTTGTTCATTTATTTTGAATTAATTAAATATATGGAGGTCTGAACAAATATCTGACAACATTCAATCTGGGAGGGGGCAGAGATACCCTAGGCTGGGAAGAAATATATCTAAAGCATTACATATGGGTGCCAATCCTCAAATTTTCTGGCAAAAGACGTATAGAACATGAACTATCTCCTCATTAAACTCTATACCATTGAACTAAATAAATATTTTTATTTTATGAATAATGAACTAAATAATCAGGAATGTTAGTACAATTGATTGTCCTAACTGACCACATTTTGTATGCAGATTTTTCCATAATAAATTTAATTGTAACCTAATTAATGGTCGAGGAGGTTATATAAGCCAAGATAGACAATGTAAGTCGGTCTTCATATTATACATAAGATTAGGTATAGTGAGAAAAAAATTTCAATTTCTCTCAGTTCATGTGTGTGTGTATATATATAAATGATAAAAATTTAGATGATCATTGGATCGCAAATTACAAATCTAAACTTAAGAAAAATTCACGTTTTATACGAGATGCGAGGTTTACATCATGCTGAAAATTTTAACTCTGCAGGTGTTGACATCATGTACTGTATAAGAGATTTAAATAAATCCTTGTAACATCGGTGGCCCGGTAGACAAATGGTGTGCAGATGAATAACCCCCTATATCTGACTGAAGAGCACAGATCTTTAGTACAAACATATTTCTCACACACATTTGTTGCTTTCCAGTTCTCCACCGTTCATTTATTTGTTTTTTATTACTATTTTATAAAGTCAAATGTCTTAAAGCATTCTCAGTAAAGTTTACATAAAATACGAACAAAACATAACATTTTTCAAACTGCGACTTCCAAGGCTGCATATGCCGTACGGACTTACTTAACTCTTGCATACAGTAGTCTTGTAGGGTAATAGGGGGTTATAAATTCCTCTGAAATAATGATAACATAACACTGTATCACAAAACCAGGAGACCCTAATCAAAATGTGGTTTTAAACAACAGAAATTAACAAGATAAACATTGTATGTTCATTTATTTGCTGCAATAAGCCACACTGAGGAAATGGTAATTAAATTCTAATTTGTTTTATGCACTGTGACTATACTTTCCCGGATTTAATGGTTAAAATAAGTACCAATACAAAGTCTTTTTAAGTCTGATTCAAATATTTAAGGCACCATTACATAAACTGTTTTTGGAAACTCTGAAGTGTTTTGTAGTTGTGTGCGACTAATATACAGCGCTACAATGCCTGCTGAAAACATACAGATAAAGACAGAGAAAGTTGGTGCTATAAGAAAGATTTGTAAGATTTGAGGTTTTCACAGTGGTGAGTATGAAGATTTCTGTCTTCTGGGTTGTTGCGCATATTCATCACCCTGATGACGGAGGCAGTATGGCCGCTGAAACGTTGGTTAACATCGACCAGACTACACAGCGCAACAACCCAGAAGACAGAAATCTTCATAAGAAAGATTTATCTGTCAGTTTTTATTTTAACCATTATTCAAAAATTATTGGTAGAATTATAACAGTTTCTGAAATTATATTTATATCATTAAAAAAACTAAATCAACACAAGATTATAGTAGAGAGAATGTTTTTCGGAGAAAATATTGGTAACTTTGGTTGATAACAGCTGTCACAGCTGGGTCAACAATATTGGGCATATTTAGTCAAACAGGAATTCTGAAATTTTCCAACTGACATTCCATAAAAGTATAAGTTAAAAAATATATGTTGCAAGAAAATTTACATGACAGAATTACTGGGAAGACTTCACATCGACAAACCTACCACGTACCATACATAGCAGTGGTTCGAAGGAAATATCCAAAATGAAGTATTTCTCAAAAACACGAGGCTCCAGGAATGTGTGTTGAACAACAGACAGTATTCTGAGCATCTGCTGTAAATGGGTAAATTTTATTTTCATTGTATTCAAGTTCTAGATTTGTTGCTTCTGATAGCAGTCTGCTTCATATTTGGGAAGTATGAGGATCAATTCATGGCTTGAAAACCAGCTATCCTGACTCAGCCCTTTTACGGTTCTTCTCCAGTCCTTTAAGACAAATACCTTATACCTTAAAATTAGTCCACAACAGCTTCCTTCCACACTCTCCCCAAATAAATCCAGGCAGATTTTGAAACAGTACCTTAAATTATGGCATGGACATTTCCTTATATATTCTTTCCAATTCAAAGTTTATTAATCATCTTATCATTTGAAATAACAGTCAGAAACAGTGTCATTGAATCAACCCGTAAATAAATAAATAAAATGAAAATTTAGACTGACTGTTGAGAATTAGTAGTGACATAAATAATAGAAAAATTCACTGTTCACATAGTAAAATTACAGCCTTTCTAAATACAGTCAATGGAATAAATGCCTGGTAAAATCTGTATATAAGACATGAGAATAAATATGGCTTGTAGCATATAAGTTCCAGCGTCTCTCTCTGAACAAAGCAGCAATGCAGTCTCATTTGGCCTCCATAACTGTAAATGATTTCTACTGTTATACAACCACATCACTTTACAAACATAAATGTAAAATTTTCAAATGGGTGTATAGAAACTCAAAGTTTCACCATCTTAAAGCCATTATTTTAAACTAGAGATTCCAGGTAATAAATTTCAATTATAACAACCATAAAACCAGTATGAGTACCCAGAATGGCATATGCGTGGCTGAGCTCCCAAAAGTACGTTACCACTCACTTTCTTTGAAAATATTCCTGTGTTGCATCTTCATATGCTTTGCACAGTTACTCCACATGCAACCCACACACACACACACAATGTATCATAACCTGCCTGAGTTCATATCTTGTGGGCTGTAGCAGTGAATTTTGGAATCTTCATTTTTATATTTTCCCTGCATGCATAACTCCCAAAAGAAAAACAAAAGATGTTAACTTTTTAAGTGGAAGCTGTGAAAAGACAGAATACATCATTCATTAAAAAGTACAAATATATATTTATCAGAGTCCACGTCCTGATTCACGATATCTCAGGAACGTATCCTTCTTGAATATTAAGCATACCTGTAATGGAAACTGCAGTTTCGCAGACAAATTACAACAATTTTTAGTACAGTATATTTGCCAGTACCGTCTAAGTAAGGCAAATTCTTTGTTTTGTACAGTAAGACAGAGTTAGCACCACATCTGAATTTTCATAATGAGCACTGAACGTGTTGTCACTTAGTCCTTATATTATCCTACAAAACATTAAAGTCTGAACCTAACGCACGCAGACTCATAACCCTTAGTTCAGTAACCTGTAACACTCCTACAATCACAGGCAAAGAAAAAAACTAGTCACATTTCTGGGGTTCATGTAGCATCACAACTTTTGCCTAGTATCGCCATATATCATCGTCATCTCCAACAAACTAGTACATGGTAGTATTATACTATGCTATTTCTTAAAGTCACATAAGTCCACAGTTCAACATTTTTGAAACAGTCTATCTAAAACCTGCTTTGTCTCTAAATGCATATGTACACAAGGATTAAGAATTGGTCCACTGATTTGCATGGGGTCTTGTTATATCCAGGGGCCCATCTCCTTCTCTAGTAGCAATGCAGCATCAGAACGCCCCATCACCCTCAAGATGTTGAGGAGGTCTGTAACAGCTGTGGCATCTCTGTGCCTTGCCTCCCACAGATCTAAAATGTGTTCCGTTGGGCTGCCCTTTGTTGCGAAGTAGTTGATGTACCTGGCAGATATGACAGTTTCCAAATACAGAACCAACAGTAATACAAAGTCAGGCAAAAGGAACTTAAAAAAAATGGCCGTGTACTTGGGCTAAGACTGGAAACATTGTTCTATAGACTTTATATCACAATCTACTAAAGTTGGAGTGTGTGTTGATGCCAAATTCAGGCTGTCATACCAGATCACATTTCTGAGGACTGTCCTATACACATACACAAAAATGATAAAATTTCCATAATGTACTTTTTTTTAATACAAATGTCCCAAAATAGGGGGGTTGCAGTGGCCGCGCGGTCTGAGGCGTGGGCCTTGTGCCTCTTGGTCACTGGGACCGTGGGTTTGAATCCCACTCAAGGCATAAATGTTTGTCCGCGTCTTTCCGTGTTGTGCTGTCCTGTGTACAGGTAGAGGCCTTGCGACGGGCCGATCCCCCATCCAAGGAGTCCTACCGAATGTCTATAGATCAACCCGACGAAAAGTTGGGACCTGCAGTGCACAGGCACTTGAAGAACCGGGCGTCCAAGTATCCCAGTCCCAAAATAACCTCAGAAGGGAGAAGGGGGTTTGGAATTTATAAAATGGGTTATGAAGTGACTTTACATATTTCCATCTGATTTTGACATTTAATTAAACAATGAATGGTTACTTGGACAGAACAATAAAAGTCTAAAGTTTTTCACCACCTTCCCTGAAGGTCAGGATATAAGTAAGTAAACAACCCATTAAAGTGGACGATTCAATTAGAAATGAATCTCTCAACATTCTATGAAGCGTATGGATACATTTTAGACATACAAGATTCTGTACTTGTACATACATGCCTTTAATAATATATTGTGATGTAACAGGACAACAAAGTTCCATCAGCTAACTATTAAATACAGTGTCCCAGGAAATAGTTTACCTTTTTGACAGATTAACATTAAAGCAAGTCATTATAAAGTTTTGTTTCATAAATGTGTGTAATTGTTAGGGAGTCCATCTTAAGTGTGAAATACCTGAGGAAATGTATTCTGATTTCACTTACTCACCTGTCAACATTGAGGCTCTGCGCAAGCATTCTCCAGTCATTACCCCGGGCATTAGGAGGATCCAAGCACATGCATAGCTGTTTCCGAAGTGAATGTTGGAATCTGGAGAAGGTAGAGGAGAAAATCACTAAAAACCAACAGTTTTACAGCTTAACACAACTATGACTTTCTTCTGGACACGACATATCCAACTGCAGGTCCATGGATCCATTTTAATAGAATAAGCCAAATTATGCCTCAACTTTCTGAGTGGTCTATCCCTTCTGGCTATTCAACTTAAATTTGGTATGCATTTATCATGTTGTTTCAGGAATTAAAACGAGAAGCTGAGAATAGGGAAAACTGGCATACTCTTTTTGGGCAGAAGAATGGACCTGTCGTCAGACAGAACACTAAATAAATAAATAATGCATACTGCATTGCAGCAAGCATTCCTAAAATCCAGCTGCCTCTGAATTTCTTTTTTTTTTTTTTAAAAAAAAAAAAAATCGAGTGCTAATGTTATTACCACATTTTCAGAGGATTTTGGCTACCTTGATACATTCCTACATTCTGGAGATGACACATGAATATATACTTAATTTTCTCTGTGTTTACTTCCAGACCAACTTACTTACTCGTATCAAGTGGAGCTTCAGTGTATTTTTCATGACAATAATGTTTGCACCCAATAAACCAACATCATCAGCTTGTACCAGAAACTGATGTCCCATAGAGTCCCAATCCCTCTTTGCTTTTGTAGACTTTCCCGACGGCATATTCTAAAGCTAAACTGGAAAGCAATGATAATGAAACGTCCCTTTGTTTCAAAATATTCTGCATAATAAATGCATCACATAAACATTTATCAATATAACAGATTTCACTTAAATACATTTTATATGACTGCAGTACTTTCTTTTATATTAAATAAATGAGAAAGTAAATACATGGTCAACAGAAATTCACCTTCTATTTCATTACAAATAATTTACAAAAGTTGTAAAGAAAAACTGTAGATTTAGTTTCAAGTACACTGCATGGTCAGTTACCTGAAAGGTGAGGATGTAGTTTGATCCAACGTGGTAACCATTGAACTGCAGCCACTGCTAGTCGTCACTGTGAGTGCCCGTGGCGGGCGTGACAGAGCCGGGCTACTTGGAACCTGTTAATAAAAATGTAACTTTTAAGGCAATCTCTGCAGTACTCTACACATGTGCTTTCTTCCAAGCTTAAATTTGGTCATTAATTAACTCCATGGCTTAGAGTCTATCTTAAGAAACTGCCCAACTTTATCTTCATTCCACCCTTTCTGGCCCCTTAAAAGGCTGCTTCTTCATCTTTCTCCTTCCAGATCTACACCTCCTTACTGATTTCCTCCAAGGTGACTCCCTGCTCATCTGGACATTTCCTCCTCATCCCCCAATACTCACTGACCAATTCCCATTAGCCTAGTCATTTTCCTAACCTTGTATAAACTAACCACGTTCCTTCCCCCTCACTTCAGCCCTAAAGGTGGAAGCAATATGTTCCTTCAAAACAAGATATCTACCTAAATGTCCACACGGTGTTACTACCCACAAGACCTGCAATGCTGTGGGAACCACAAATTCTCTTCAATCCTTAACTGTCTTGCAGGACAACGTACCCCATTTTTAAATTATACGCTAAAAGTTAAATTTGTGTTAAAATGAAAAGTATTGATCTACAATATATGCTACATATATCCCTGATACAAACCACAGTTATGTTAGGAGAAGAGTTCTGTAGATCAGTGTTAATTCTGAACATCTGGCGGTGTGTGTGGCTTCCCTTCTGGCACGCCAGTATTCTGAAGGCCACTGTATGAACAAGTCTGTCAGTGCGCTCCAATGTGAAGGAGCAGTGCAGATGATTGTTTATTACCACATTTTCAGAGGATTTTGGCTACCTTGATACATTCCTACATTCTGGAGATGACACATGAATATATACTTAATTTTCTCTGTGTTTACTTCCAGACCAACTTACTTACTCGTATCAAGTGGAGCTTCAGTGTATTTTTCATGACAATAATGTTTGCACCCAATAAACCAACATCATCAGCTTGTACCAGAAACTGATGTCCCATAGAGTCCCAATCCCTCTTTGCTTTTGTAGACTTTCCCGACGGCATATTCTAAAGCTAAACTGGAAAGCAATGATAATGAAACGTCCCTTTGTTTCAAAATATTCTGCATAATAAATGCATCACATAAACATTTATCAATATAACAGATTTCACTTAAATACATTTTATATGACTGCAGTACTTTCTTTTATATTAAATAAATGAGAAAGTAAATACATGGTCAACAGAAATTCACCTTCTATTTCATTACAAATAATTTACAAAAGTTGTAAAGAAAAACTGTAGATTTAGTTTCAAGTACACTGCATGGTCAGTTACCTGAAAGGTGAGGATGTAGTTTGATCCAACGTGGTAACCATTGAACTGCAGCCACTGCTAGTCGTCACTGTGAGTGCCCGTGGCGGGCGTGACAGAGCCGGGCTACTTGGAACCTGTTAATAAAAATGTAACTTTTAAGGCAATCTCTGCAGTACTCTACACATGTGCTTTCTTCCAAGCTTAAATTTGGTCATTAATTAACTCCATGGCTTAGAGTCTATCTTAAGAAACTGCCCAACTTTATCTTCATTCCACCCTTTCTGGCCCCTTAAAAGGCTGCTTCTTCATCTTTCTCCTTCCAGATCTACACCTCCTTACTGATTTCCTCCAAGGTGACTCCCTGCTCATCTGGACATTTCCTCCTCATCCCCCAATACTCACTGACCAATTCCCATTAGCCTAGTCATTTTCCTAACCTTGTATAAACTAACCACGTTCCTTCCCCCTCACTTCAGCCCTAAAGGTGGAAGCAATATGTTCCTTCAAAACAAGATATCTACCTAAATGTCCACACGGTGTTACTACCCACAAGACCTGCAATGCTGTGGGAACCACAAATTCTCTTCAATCCTTAACTGTCTTGCAGGACAACGTACCCCATTTTTAAATTATACGCTAAAAGTTAAATTTGTGTTAAAATGAAAAGTATTGATCTACAATATATGCTACATATATCCCTGATACAAACCACAGTTATGTTAGGAGAAGAGTTCTGTAGATCAGTGTTAATTCTGAACATCTGGCGGTGTGTGTGGCTTCCCTTCTGGCACGCCAGTATTCTGAAGGCCACTGTATGAACAAGTCTGTCAGTGCGCTCCAATGTGAAGGAGCAGTGCAGATGATTGTGTGACGAGCTCCAGATGTGATGGAATGGGATTTCCTAGACAACAAGGAATACCAAAAACACATTTTTTACTGTGATTCAAAAGAGCTGCAAAGTTCGTGTTCTGGTTTTCTGTTTTATGCATTTTACACCTGCCCAGAACATTCATACGGTGTAGTGAGCAGCCATGAGCTAGAATGTTATTTAAGCAGTGGAAATATTAATATGAACTGACAGTCACAGTTAGTGTTTGTTTGGATATAGAGATTCTGGTACTTAAAAACAACAAAATGGAAGAGGTACTTTATATATATTTTTATGTAAAGAATTTTAACATACAAAATGGATGAATTCCACATGTGAAGCCAGTAGCACAGCTGCAACTTAAAATTCAGTGAGAGACAGGACAAAATTTGTTCTCATTACCACACCACATGTGTTTGTATACCTCTTGTTTTAAACCATAGTTAACAACTATAAGGAATTTAACAGCCCTCGGCATGAGGCTACTGGCTATACTATAACTCCAGGATTAACTATGTAGTGGTACGCTACTGTGACACATGATAGCTGGACTGTACCTAATCTAAAAACACAGAAGTTTTAATCTTTCAGCGAATAAATGAAATATTATCCTTTGACTTTTATAACAGTGATATATTCATAACTATATCAAGAATATACTAACCATTATCAAGGATTTGGAAGAGAGTTATATCCTGTGAATTCAGACCTAACCTCAATTACTGAATTCCAACAGGAAGACAAACTGCGGGAATGTGACCCCTCCTCCATTTTCTTGTTTTAAGATATAATTTGTAGAAATATATGAACATGCACAGTTTTTAAAATTGAAAACACATTTCCTTTATATGTAGCTTACAGTTTTGAACTTCATTGCATGTAATTGGAACATGGGAAGAGGCACAAATCAGGTAAAATTTCACATTATTACCACCAGAGAGATTCAGGAAGTAAGGGCCAATAAATTCACATGAGATTCTAATGGACATTTGGCTCCCAAGTAAAATGACAGCCAAAATCATTACGTATAGTCTGAAAGTTATCACTGTTACTTCAATTAAATCAAACTGAACACAAACAGAATACTTCAACAATATGAAATTCAAAACCTTCTCATAATCATAATATTATGACACAATTAAAATGTCTTATCCTCTTTTGCATTCCAATGACTGATTGACTGACTGACAAAATACTAATGGATGTTTCCTAATCATCTGAATACACAACTTTTGAAAAGTTGGCTAGTATTTATATGAATATAACATAAATAATGGGAAGATCATCAACATAACCTCAATTTATGAATCAAATTATTATTCAAATTACTAATTTGTTACCTGTACTGCATGCACACAGACCTGATAGTCAGCCTGGGGCTTGCTTTTCCATCCTGGACCAATATCTTCCATACTGAGGCATAAACTAGCACCACCATCTTGGAATAACATGGTCTTTGGTTTATCCATTAGACAACCTCCCAACTTTTTCTCCATTTGCAGCACTCCCTATATTAAACCAAATATATGCCTAATACAGTAAAACAAAGCGGTTAAATGGCTCACAAAGAGCTAGTCCCTATCTCCGGACTAGTTATATCGATTTGGCCCAACAGAGTAGGTTTTACGTGAAGACGGAGATAGATTCCTATCTCCAAAATGTCGTGTTTTATTTAATTTTGGATGATGGATAATGTCCAGAAAATAGTTTGCTTCAACAACGCAACATCGTCACAAACCTTCAGAATTAGGTTGCTACACATCATCATAACCATATAATATATTTTCAGTGTTTAGTTCATCTTACAACAAAGTTTTTATCTTCCCTAATATCTTCATAGTCAAAATCTATTTTGGATATCTGCAAATAAAAGCTACAGACGTGACAAAATTTCAAAATACAGTTTTACTTTGGTGTAACACAGTAAATCTGTCACAGTACATGTATTAGACTTTCAGTAATATATTCAAAAATTTACTGAAATGTTAATATTTCATGATGTATTAAAAAATGTAACTGTAGAACATATCTCTTGGACAAAACAGTTCAGACATGAGTAGCCTGATGAATTTATAGCTCTGTCTGATTATGTCAAGAAAGAAAAAGATGATAACAGAATAACAAAGTTACATATTCTTGTAATTTATATGGTGAACAAACAGCAATACTGTATCACACTATGCCATGTATGTTTCTGTTACCTCAAGGGCCGCCATATTGTCCTCTAATGTGTAGACGCGAACATTATAATCAAGTGATTGTGGGTGGAGTATCGGTGATGGTGCAAATACTGCTAGTCTCAGTGTCTTCACAGCCTTGTTGCAACTTCCTGCCGATTCCCCAACTAGTACAAACCGAGTGAGCTGATCAGTCACCAGATACACTTGACCATGGTCCAACTGCGTAAATACTGGCGTGTTGATTGTCTCCTCACCCAGTGTCACGACTTTCTGCAATGTTAAACATTACAGACACTTGATTAAATTTTAGGTACTCACAAAATGAAGATGTCAATGTATGATCTTGAGCTTTCACGGCGACTATGTACAATAAAATCTTCTCGGGCTATCAGCCGCGTCAAGTGATTAAAACATGAAAAGACCAACGTTTCGAGGTCCATCTCTGTCCTTGTCCTCAGCGGACTGACGCAGCTGATAGCCCGAGAAGATTTTATTGAAGATGTCGATGTTGGTCTTCTGGATAGTAACAACACGAAGACCCCCAGAACACTGGTATCCCTCAACATAACCTTGTGTCTACATCGATAAACTGTCAAATTAAGGCTTCGTTGAAGTATGTATTAATTTTCGTAAGACAGAAAGATTATACGACAGTGATCTATGACATTATATTAGGGAATTTTCTTACCATTTTGCAGTTTACTGTTGCTTGTAACTTCTTTCAGTTTGACAACTACACTGACCTGCCACACCGGAGATTCTTCTGGCTGCGAGTAACTGCACCAAACAGAAACACTCCAATGTCCATGCTTAAGACTTGCACAGTGATGGAAATTCACAATCACTGGTTTCTTGAATGTTATATTCGCTGGCCCACAAATCACCACAGGACTTAGTTGTGTCTGACGATCTGCCAATGTAAAATCAAGGCAAAAAACAGCTATAAATCTGTGTAAGATTTGAGGTTTTCACAGCAGTGAGTATGAAGATTTCTGTCTTCTGGGTTGTTGTGCTGTGTAGTATGGTAGATGTTTACCATTCATCGCCCTGATGACGGAGGCAGTATGACCTCTGAAACGTTGGTGCACAGACTACACAGCGCAACAACCCAGAAGACAGAAATATTCAGCTATAAATCTATCATTTGCATTCTATTAATTTAAACATCTAAATGTGCTGGCTTAAATACAAAGCTACAAAGAGTTAAATTCTTAATTTGTAAATAGTCGTTCCTATTTGAGACAAGTACAAGGTAGTGAGACTGTCAGTACTGGGGCATCCATGAACTACTGCAATTCTTATCCAAGACTGAGGATACTAACCTGAAAGTTTTGGTCTATGTCTGTCTTCCCGGAGAACAGCGACAAACGCGTCCTCTCTCTGACCTCTTACCAGAGCACCTTCAGGCACACTGAGTGAGATGCCAGACTCCAGTATGCTGAGCCTCGCTCCAGCTGACGTTACTGTTGCAGACGCAATGCATTCTGGATCTACACCGACAATGGCAGATGATGGAGGAGATGTTGGCGTAGTGGACTGGGCCGCGATGTCGTAAGTTGAATCGGGTCTGGAGGCTGCTGCAAAAATAATTTCAAAATTTAGAAATATGATTTTTATTTTATTTTTCAGCATTCATCACACTAACCGAAGGGAAAAAAAATATCTGCAGTACATTTGCAGTCTACATAAATAACGTGTTACATTCTTATTACCTGCTATCATCCTGTTCACAAATTTTGCTGCTACAGGTTATGCAAGTTTTGGCTCCTTCATGAGAAATTTTAATGATCCTTCAAGGGAGATCTCTAGACCCCTATACGAAACTGAAAATGTTTTACTGAGAAGATACAAGAGAGAAGTAATAAAATATAAAACATGGTTTGGGTCCTCCAATATACCACATTCCAGAGTGCATTTTGGTGTCACAGGGCTCCATCATGCTTATGTATAGCTTTAGAAGGGTTAGGTTAGTTTTGCTTAGCTTCTGGAAACAAACCATTACAAATACAGGCAACTCTCATTTTACGAACGAGTTCCGCTCCAAGACGTTTGTTATATGTTTTTGTTCGTTATGTGTATCTTGCATTCCTGAGCGTTCACGAAACGTATCGTAACGTTAGCAGCCATTTTAAAGCATTAAAACCATGTACTACACATCGCATGGAAGTGATGGTCCTATTATATTATAACAGGAGGAATCACCGATTTCTTTCCCACGAGAAAACATTCTACGCGGCGTGGGAAGTAAACTAACGTCTTTTTACTGGCTAGATTAGTTTTATTAACCAAGAACAGTTCAGTATAATTATCATATAATAATTTTCTGATAATTATTGTAATAAATAAGTTTATTTTCTTATATCTTACAATTATGATCACTATACGTTTGGCATTTCGTTTTATAAGGAACTCTACCTATTGGCGACTTTAAGAAATTTTGAATGAATTGTGACGTTCGTTATAGGGAATGTTCGTAAATCGAACGTTCATAAAACCAGAGTTACCTGTAGTAGCTTTTATGCAAACTTTTTCTACTTCCAACAGATGGCAGGTCATTTCTCTCACTTACATGACGAGCAGAAGCTGCTGATGCTATGGCTGGAGTCCGAATTAAGGGGTTTCTCGCTAGATGTCTCTACAGGTGGAGTGGCAGTGACAGGGCAACTGCTACTGTCCATTGAATGGCTATACGTCGAGGGCGATGTAGGAGGGTCCCCAGGGGGACTGTTCAAGTGTGGGACATCGTAGTGGTGCTCACTGCAGGAGCGTGATAGTCCATTCTTGCTGTTCGGGGGGTCCGAGTACGGATACTCGTAACAGGGGGCCACTGACACCCCCACCACTGTCTGTGTTAAGTCCGGCTGCTGTGAGGGATGCTGCAAGGACAGATTCTTCTTGTCCTGTTCTGGAAAGTACTCGGGTTGATATTCTGCAGACAACATAATCATTATAAGTGACTGATGGCAACGTACGCCAAGGAGTTCGGCGCAGAACTCTTTTGTCTGCATTACTAATGCAAGACTTCCACGCCTACGAACGCCATGTTGTTAGTGTGATACTGACTTAACGCAAATTTATAATTCAACAATAAAATGATGCAATTTATTTCATGAGTTGGTATCATGAGCCTATGTGCTTATGGTCACACGATCAAATTCCTTTCTAGTCAGAAGCATTTTATTGTTTGAAATTGCAAATATGTTAGAAATTTGTTGGCTATAACCTCAAATTGTCGCGCCGTCGCCATGGTTGTAACCGTAGACTTATAACGTGTACTGCATATGGAATTTGTAGGTATGTGTGTGGTATATCTCGATTTCCAGTTTGAGATACCTAGATTCACTATTTCAAATAATCGCTGTCACACTAAAAGCGAAATTTTGTTAACCACCATTTTGCTGTCTTACATCTTACGAAAATATAATTGCAGCAAACGTTTCATGTTTATATTTCCAAATATGGTTTCAGGACCCTGCATTCGGCATATTAGTGTCTACCCCGTCTTACAAGTTCGTGCGTGTCCAAAAATGTAAAAATTAAGTGGTTAGGATAATCTCATAAGCCTAAAACGAAAAATCAGAAACTATTCTTCCATTTCTAGAGCCTTCCTCGATTGACTGATAATTACGCGGGTAGTCGCCGTCACTTCCCTTCGCAACGATACAAGTACAAACGAATTTCATAATTTGCATTGTAATTACATTTTATTTCTATTACGTGTTTCCCGTTCCTCCGGGCGCTTCTAACGAGCGTCTACCTCGTTCTGAGAAGCAATTTGCACCCCAACAGATAACATTTCTTTATTATGGACTTCGAAGATTAATCACCGTCATAACAAAAGTCACAGATAGCCAATATTGATTCGATCGAAACGTGAACTGATAATGAAGATTTATAAGAAACAGGCAGCATCAGACTAAGTACCGGCACACCAAATCAAAGGATCGAGACAATTAAGCGAGACAGACGTCAGGCGTCATTTGTTAGATGAGGGCCGGGCATGCCAAGTCACGCGACATTTCGTCCACAGGGCATTGCTTTCATCAGACAACGTGAACAGCCTGCCAATAAAACAAAATAGATTTAACAGTAAATGGCCTTTCCTAGTATACGGCTTTGTGAAAATGTGCAGGCGTCCTTTTTTTAAAAAAAAGAACGCATACCGACAAAGATAAATTACACAAAGGGAAGTGACAGCATCCGGGAAACGCGGGTCACACGTGATTTTACAAGACACAGTGTAGCAGTTGCAGACCCACGGGATACAGTGTCTTTTTTTCGACCAAAGACTGAAACTAGATATTCCTTTACCGTTCGTCTCATACGCACAACTGACTAATTATGATAAATATATGGCCCAGAGTTTTTCCTCTATCCGCCCCCTTATTTGATAACTGATAAATCAACAGAGATCAATGATTACTACATGACGTAACCGAAATATGGATGTCAATAAAACATTTACTGAGCAGTTCACCATGTTCTCTTTCGGTCTGTAGCTTAATATAACTAACTATAATGGCGCTATTAGCTTGGTATACAATATTTATTATTATAATTAAAAAATAAAGCATCATGCCCCGACCAAGCCTTACTCCCGCGAAAGGACCCCGGTACCCATTGGATAGGAGGCTGCGTGGACCCCAGGACCGGCCTGGATGCAGAGGGCAGATGAAAAATCCTCTGCCTCTGTTGGGGATCCAAATCTGGTCGTAAATAAATAAATACGAAATACCTGAATAGTTTTAAGGGAATTCTGTACAGGAGGGCTAGGTTAAAAAGGTTCTTGCTTCAAACTATGCTCTTTGTATAATTAGAGCACCTCAGTTTTGGATTAAACACTACGAGGTTCACCGACCGCAAAGTACAAATTAACAGAACGATTCCTGTGGCTTTTAAAGGGCCCGTTGACAACTTTTAACTGTTGACAGAAACCAGAGTGGTTTGTCCGTAGGCCGTAGTAAACTCCTTCCCTTAGGTTCAAATTACTACCACATAGTTTAACAAACCAGAATTATATTCATGACGTCAGCTCAGAGTCTTTCATCTTTACGTGACCACAAATATACAGAACCAAAATTTTATGTTATTTTGCATGGGTTTTCAACTTGGTCTCTCACTTTATAGGATGAAAACAGTTTGAGGTTGTTTGAGAACGAAGTTCAAAGGATAATATTTAGACCAGAGGGAGAGAGAAATAGGACACTGGACATGCAGAGTTGCTTTAAGACAATGGTGGGCCCTGGACACGTAACTTACAGTTTGATATCAGCACAAAATGTGAGGGCCCCTAAAATCGGAAGACCCTACGCAGCTGCCACTTTACTCACTGGACAAAAATATTTTGCGAACATGTAGCACGCATGGGAGAGGTGGTAAATGCAGAGAAAATGTTAATCTGAAATCCTCAATGCAACAGATCGTTTGAAGAGACTAACGTGTAGACAGACGATAATATTATAATGGACGTTACGGAGAGGAAAAATTGATGAAAAGTTTAAACTGAATGAATGTTAGTTTGTGACCGCCTGTTCTGGACAAGATAATGAACCTTTGGGTTCTAGAAAAGTTTTCTTTCTTCCAAACTTTCTAACAAGCACATTGCACCATGAAGTTAGGAGTTCAGTACTGTAATCTAAAGATACAGACACAAAACTATAGCACTCTTTCGGGGGGTGGGGAGTGGGGGGGGGACCCGACTCTTTAAAACGTACAATTCTCATCCACATTTCTTCAGCGACTTTTCTGTAAAACGAAATGCGTGAACGCAAAACGATACATCTAAAGAACAAGAAACCATTTCTCCTTACGTGTTCACTCCCGTAATTCACTGTACAACTTCGGGTTTCGAAGATAAGCCGAGAGGAATATTTAAAATTACACAACGTTTCGACAAACATTAAAAGTTTTATCTTCAGGGTGAGTATATGATGGTTCCGCGTTGCTGGAAGCCTTATTTATGGCAAGCAGCAGGCAGTGATGGATTTGATGGTGCCGATTTCCTGTCTTATATACGGCTTCTAAAAACGCCCAAACATTACGTACTCACCCTGAAGATGACAACTACAATGTCTGCCGAAACGCTGGGTCACAAGATCACACAGCAGATACTTTTTTTTTTGGCTAGCTGCCTGCTCAACTCATCCTGAATACCAACTAGGTTCATTCAAATTACCTGAAGCCACTTTTGCTCTATGCACGCCTGACCTCCGCATGCGTAATAAACAAGCCTATACGAAACGGGTTACTCTTTTATAATTATGATGACGCTCAATTAAATACGTTCAAATTTCACACAAAAATAACAGAGGTTGAAGGGAAAGAAAAATATATCTACCTCATTTGTCATTTCATAGAGCAAAGCTTACTTATTCTCGCCGCACGTTGGTGTAACGTGTTCAGCTTCCTATTAAAATGCCTAACATATTCGAGTCTCTATTTTCAAAAGTAGAACTCACCCCAAAAATAACCGTTGAAAGTGAGTGACACGGAGCCTAATTATAAGGCCAGAGAGGCGCGTGTGGAGAGAAAATAGGGGGTGGTTCAAGAGGGAGGGGACGTACTGAAGGGTGTGAGGACGAAGCTGAAATCTGACAGTTTGTTGGTTTAATGAGGTGCATGGGCCTGCGGTGAAGAGAACCGGGAAGCTGTGGAGGCCATCAGATCTCTTGACAGCCAGCCACGGTACACTCCCTACCAAAACACATTCATCCACCTTACACATACAATACTGTACTAGCAGGTTATCTTTGGTCGAGCGAGCATGAATGTCAGAACGTAGAATGGTTTCTGTATATACGAGTCGAGTCCGGAAGGAAACATGTTCAGCTACTATACTTCGGCCATTTGCCCACAGCACCGCGTGCGATGACAAGTCAGCAGTGGCCAACACCAAGCCAATCACGTTTAACAAAGTAATTCACAGTAAGGAGAAATATACCATTTATAACAACGGAGTATTGTATCCATGTTTTCTTCACTGTTATAAGAATGCATGATCGCGGCCAGGCATCAAATGGGGCAACTAGGAAAGGAAATCTTAGGAAAACTTGCGCGTATAGTAAGCTGGCTCCTACACACAGACCGAATAAATGAAATGTGGGAGGTATCTGGTTCGGATCTCAGACGGTGTACCAGCTAAACTAACTGAACTGTCTGTTCTTCGTTGCTACAGGCGAATGACCTTGAAAAAACCACGACGATAAAATCCTCCTAAAGCCTTTCCAATTTATTGCGTATCTTCTCATTCCATCTAACGCTACAGTTTCAAAGTTGAACCAGCGCCATTAAATAACCCAATGATAGACACACAGATCTATCAATAAAATATTTTCTCGAAGAAAAGTTTTGGTGGACTGACAGTTCTTGCAACAGGGCATTTAACTCCATTAAACAGAGAAACGTACAGACGTCCAGGTGTTCAAAAAATGTTCCGCCTTTTATGAAACCTGAAAGTTCATTACCCTATTCACAACAGCTCTCCACCAATCACTATCCTGGCCAGATGAATCCTTCCGCATACCCACAATCTACTTCCTTCATATCAGTGTTCATATTATCCCCCATCCGCTCCTAGGTCTGCAAAGTAGTCTCTTTACACCAAATTTCTGATTAAAATGTATTCACTTCTCATGAAATGTTTGATACGTACACATTACTGTTTCAATTCTGCTGTCACTAAACCACTCTTGAGTATATTCTCCTAAGCACCATTTCTCATACATTCTTAATCCGCGCTCTTCCCTTGATGTGACAGACCAACAACTATAGTCTACACTGCTCAGTACATATATATAATGGTTCATCCCTGAAGTAAATTACAGGGCCCGTCAAAGCGAGATTACTAATGCAACTAATTAAAGAGGTCGGCAGTAATTCTGTCATTCTATGCGTCTATTTGCACACAATAATCACAGCGCATTCTGTCGGTACATTCCTGTACTGTCATCAGTTTGCACTTGACTTATCAATTTATACGTATAAAATTCGCATTTCGTTTCTTTTGGGGGGGAAGGGGTAATTTTCATCAAGATTCACCAGATAAGATTTAAAAATCATATATAGGAACGAGTACACATACTAGATCTGAAATGCTTTATAGAATAATTTTAAAAACGTAGACTAGTTTCTAATACAATTCATCTGAATTTTTGTCGAATCTCACTTTGTTCGTCCGCCATGAAAGTTTTACCGAATTTAGGACACTGAAAAATGTGATGTTAGAGTATTCCTCAACGGTATAACGTCCGTACCAAATTTCATCCAACGGCGTGTACTTACCGGAAGCCGCCATGTTGTACATGCTGTGATCCCGTCCCTTCCTTCTCAGAAGACGGAAAATAAAGAAGGCCACGACAGCGAAGACCGCACAAGCTACCGCTAGACCAATGTAGAGGGCAACATCGGTCTCCACTTCTGCGCGCGTCGCTGGAAAAAAACAAACAAAAGAAGTGAATGTGAGAAGTTATGATTTAGTGGCCACCACAGTAACGGAGTAAATTTTTTATTTATTTAAACCAGAAGGGTTGCGTGAGAAAAATGCACTAGCAACTTTGAACTTGAAAACCATAGACAGAGGAAAACCAAGAAAAGATATATCCAGATGGCAGATCTCAGGACCTTCCAGATGCACACTGACTACCAGTCAGCAGTCTGGCAAACATAAGAATACAGTAGCCCCTTAAGTTTCCTTAACTTGATTGCCACCAACTTTATATTAATTTAAGTAAATTTGACGCAGTAATCTAACGTGATACAATAGAATGCAGATTATAGGTCTGTTTTCACAATATCCTTTGTCCATCTTCCAGGTGATGTACGTATGCGTATTGCATAAAAAATCTTAACCAGAGAACTTGAAGATAAGAGAACCACTTGTGAGATACACATGTAAATGGAGGAATATTACAACAGATTTTAAATAAACATAGTGTGAGGGTATGGACTAAACTCAATTCGATCGGGATTCGGCCCAGTGACGTGGTTCACGAACACGACATAAACCCTCGTGTTCTGTATAATGCGACAGATTTCTTGACGGGTTGAGCGACTACAAACTTATAAAAATTTCTGCTTCATTAAGTTATTTGATAAATATGCAACCAATCTATTAGACTATAAAATAGTAAACGTTATTTAACTACAATAGACTTTATTTACAAGCATTTTTACTATGTTCAAAGATACTTATTGTCATGTCCAAAAATTAACTGTTCTTTTTTTTCGACGTATGTCATTCTTACACTCATTATCTTGCTAGATTGGAACTTCACCCCCCCCCCCCCCCCCCCAACCCACTGCGTCGTGTGCCAGGTTATCCGATTGGAAAAGCCCCCTTTTACTTCCTTTGCTTGCGAGATTTAATTGCCCTTGCAATAATTCTCTAATGGTCAGTTTCCTTGGCGATTTCCGGTCACCTGATTAACGCGGACTGATCCCTGGGACGGAGGAAACGTTTCCACTCATTAGATTCAATACGACAGATCCAACTTATCCGGTAAATGGGTCTGTTTCTTCTAGGTTACATTTTATGTTTTCCTCGTTCTCTTATTTTGTTATGTTTCATGGCCAATGACCACACTTAAGTAAAAAAGGGTTGTCCAATACATGTAATACTCCACGGCACTCCAAAATATATGACAGATATTATTTTAGTCGAAAATTTACCCATAAAATGAAGTACTAAATAAATAAATGTATATAATTTTATCCATTTTCTCTGCGTCTACAACTGATATATCCTTATTAACATTTTCTACTAATAGACTTAATGAGCCGGGATAGCTCAGTCGGTATAGTGACTAGCTACGGGCTGGACGGCCGGGGTTCGACCCCCGACGGGGGCAGAGGATTTTTCCTCTAGCCTCTGCGTCCAGACCGGCTCTGGGGCCCACCCAGCCTCCTCTACAATGGGTACCGGGGTCCTTTCCCGGGGGTAAAGCCGGCCGGGGCGTGATGCTGACCACTCACCCCCATCTAGTGCCGAGGTCAAGGAAGAGAGGAGCTATACCTCCTCTCACCCCAAACGCCTACATGGCGTATAGTGGGACAAACTTTACTTTTTACTAATAGACTTACAGACTTTCAATACATTATAGTAATGTAACATACGTACATAAACTTCTTTAAAGTTAATATTTATTTATTTATTTACAGTTTGTATAACGACACCTTTTAAGTAACTCAGAGTACATGTGACAATGAATAATGAATTTGCAAGGATGTGGAAGGAAGCAGTCGTGGCTGAGGAAGACCACGAAAAACCTCAGTCAGGACAGCCGGCCCCCGGACCAAGATTTAAACTCGGGGCCGAGTGCTAATTCAAGTAAAACCTGATATTGAAAGGCTGTTCAAGCAGTAGTAGTGTCAAATGTTACACTTACGACTGGTTTTGTTATAGAAAATTACTGACACATATATGTGAACTTAACATGCTGTAATAATAGGCCTAATTTAATGGTGTTTTTAATATTTTGCTATGAATTCTAATGAATTATTCTCATTTATAATCTTGCGGCCAGCGGGTCTGTAAGAATGGGTGGTGAATGTGGCCCGGATATGGAAAACGTTGAGTACCCCTGGATAACAGTATGGAGCATGGGTGCAGTTTTAGCGACATGCCTTATCTACACTTCACTACCTCAGAGTTTTCGTGACTACGACTATGAATTTCGTCAGATAAAGGGGCCCCTGCTCTTAACATTTTATATGTATCTTCATGACATGGGCATACACGTTAAAAATACTGAAATTAAGTTCCAACGCCAAAAATAAAAATAACTTACAACTCAGGGTAAGAAGAAAAAATAAATAAAGTCAAAGACTGTACAAAGTGTTTAACAATACCGATCAAACCGCAAATGAAATAAAACAAATTATAAATGGAGTAAGAAATAATTATTATTTATATTCATAATTTCTGTAAAGAGCATGTAATACACGAGGACACATACATTACCAGAAACCTTAATTCTAGAGCCTGGCTTTATGAAAGAAAATCTTATCATATAACCTAACTTAACTTTGGTTTAGTCATCTGAACGTTTATCCAGTGTTTACATTACACTACAGTATAATTCGGGCGGCAGCATGTTGATTGTTAGCAGCCAGAACGCATGACAAATAAACACGATTAATAAAAACTTCTGGAGCCAGCAGCCGCGTCACTTGGTTAAACTCTGCCAGCGTTTCGAGGGCCATCTCTGTCCTCATTTTCAAGTCTAGTCACAACATAAACAATATTGCTAATAAATCATCCAAAATGTGGCATATCTCGACGGTTATAAACAAAAATGGCATACGTCTCAATAAAAAGTTAAATAGATGAAGACACTGTACTTAATTATACACAACCCGTGAAGACGTAAGAGAATCGAAGTACAGATCCTCGCATTCTTAATATCGATAGTGAAGAAAGTTGTTATCTTCAGTCCCCGACTGCTTAACCCCTAGGGATAGAGTCCTTGGTTAAGTATACAAAGTGCTGAGGTGGCTCCGAAGCCGGTCTTAACGTGACGTCAAAAATAGAAATCAATGCCAAAAAAACTAGAAGAGATAACTCGAAATATCTAGGCGCAAGCGGACAATATAATTAAAATGTATTTTGAAGAAATGATTTGGGAGTTCGTGCACTAGACTTATCTATCAGAACAAAGAAGCAGCGAGGATTTTGTAACTACGACAATTAATCTTAGAATCACCTGAAAGGATGAAAGTGCCTGTACTCCTTTCTCAAGATGGGCACTGCAGAATGTAATTAGTTGAAACTGTACCCCCCAAATGATGTACCACTGCTAATGGCAGAAACACAGGTGTTATTATGAAACCCTAAGGGCGTTATGGAGACCCAGCCTTCTACATCTGAATAAAAAAAATAATAAAATAAATAAAAAAAACATGGTCGTCACATCTAATTAATCTGTTAGCATGGTCACTCACGACCAATCAGAATAGCTGGCTCGAAAGTCGAGATTTGCTTCCCGAATAGGAAGTTCAGTGTTTACAGAAATAAACAATACATAACAAAATAAACATCGCACACACACAGAACGATTTGGGGGGGGGGGGACTGAAGGGTATAACAAACTAGAAAATGTTGACAAGGAAATGCGAAGAATTTGCGAAAATAGAAAGAAACAATTTCGTGAGTGATAAGAATGGAAAAAAAACCCAGTTATCAAGAAAGACAAAATACATAAAAATAAATGCAAGGGAGTTAGGTAACAGAGCGAGAAGTCAGGAAGCGAATAAGCATCCCTGTGAACCAACGAATGGGTGAGAAGGAGGAAGGATCAATAAAGATTAGCACTCAAAGTTTTCTTCCTTTGAGAATCCTCGTCGGCTTGAGTGGTAGGTTGGGAGGCGGAGGGCAATGCAATCGTCCGCTTCAGCGGATCAGCCCAGGCGAGCGATTCCATTGGGCACTCTTATCTCGCGCTATCATGATCATCTGAACCACAAACACGAAACATCTCACAGCTGTGCTGCTATTTCAAACACAAAGCGACAAGATACTTGCATATTTTAACCACAAACAGGACTCTCAAATTCGAATAAAGTCAGTACTAACAAGAAATTCGTGGAAGAAATGCAAAGCAAAGGAGGAGGATATTTAAGGTAATAATTAATTTCTCCTTTACCTTTGTCCATATTTCCGTTTTTAAGTATTTCCATTACACAGAAGTCGACTACAGTTGGCTCAGAGTTTCGTGCTGTATTAAAATGTTCAACATGCACATTAAATTTCAAACTTTTGTAGATGCCAACCATCGTTACGCCAAATTCTACACGCCCAGTTACAATATAGATGCGAACTTCTGCGCTGTAACGCCGCGCCTTATAAACGTGTAGATAAATACCAACGTTTTAGAAGAACATACTGCTTCCATCTTCAGAACAGAAGTACAATAGTGTCTACCAACAAGTCCACGCGTTGTTACAATTCAGTACGAGTAAGACGAGGGAAATTATTTCCGTCAAATGACTGATACCCCGATGACCAAAGTTCAAGTAAATTATTGCATCAATCAGAAATTTAGAAATTCCGTATTATTTACAGAAGGAGTTCCACTTAACAGAACACATTCATTGACCTACTGAAAAATTCGCGTGTTATTTTATTTTGTCTGAATTAAAGTAATTATATAACTATTTGATCGTATAGTAACTAGGCACATAATCATTAATGCAACGAATTTAAATAAAATTTTATCGAATGATGAAGGGAAACATGTCTTCGCGCGTCGGCTGTCGCCTCCAGTCGTATAGTTTCAGACAGTTCAGTATTTGGGGAAAGAGAACGCAAATTTTAAATACTAAAATTTGACTCCAACGACACATATAGTTACTTTTACAAAATCTTCAACAAAAAATAATTAACGTAGTTTTCTTCAGCTATCACAATTGAACAGAAAGTCTCTGGTTTCTTC